AAACTGGGGACTACCAGTATATGGTTTATTGTCCTGGCATCAACGTTCAGCATTAACCCAGCGACTAATTAGAAACCTTGGTTTTCAGCTTTGTGACTAACATCAGAACAATAACTTGAAAAGAATATTCTTTTGCAAGCAGCTAAACGTTTGCTCCGCAATTAAATACGAAGAGAAAATCGGAAGCAACATATATAGCTTAGCTGAAACATTAAACTAAGTGTTTAGGAAGGAATTGGCTTTGTTTCTTTGTTGCTAGGTAAAATATTCCTGGATTTCAAACAGCCTCTTACAGTACAGTTTTTTTCCCAAGCACATTTCAGTTTTAAGGGATCTGCCAAACATTTATATGTGAAAATGAAAGACAAGAATTTAAAAGCACAGGAAATCCTATTATATCAAAAACAGACCACTGCTCTGCCTAGTTCAGTGTTGTCTACTGAGAGGCAGAAGCTGCAGAGGGACGTAGGAGTTTCCCCAGCCCTACCTATACACATCAGTCTTTCTGCATGAAAGTATTGTTGAGTTATGGCTCAATCCACAAACCCATCAGTCCATAGCCAGGGATCATGGTCATGGATCAGTTATTCAAGAAAGCTTTTCTTGATGTACTGCTAAGACTAGAGTCAAAAGGAGAAGAAGGAGAACAGCAACTCCAGGGTTCTTTGCTCAGATGTACTGCTTGTAAAATGGCAACTCTTTCATATTTTTCAGAGTTTGGTTTCCTATGATTAAATTTGTTGGCATTTGTGCAATTTCTCTTGTGCTTGATATATATATTTTCTCTCAGGGCTCCTTTTCTGTCTCTTTGTGCTGTTACTCATTTTATTCTTAACAATTTGATTTTTTTCTTCATATAGGAATAAAAGGAGTTTTTTTATCTCACTTAATGCTCATTCAAGATGATTTATGTATATTTTGAATTCATCTGGCTTCAGAATTAACCAATTGTAATTACAATCAAAATGAAAAATATGCTTTGATGCAATTCCTCACCTGGCTTCCAGTTGTAAACATTTCTTTTGATTTCTTTATGGCTACATTAAACCCTTCCTAGAACAATAAAAGTAAAAGAGAGCCATATAATCCAGCAGGTTATTTCTACTCATAGTCTCAGATAACATGCATCTCTTAGGATTTGTAGCAGGAAATATTTGACTATACTTCATCAATTATTTATGAGTTCACCATCACTTGTCTGTTTGCCAATCTATAATAATCCTTCTGTAAATGTTCATTTACGTAAGGTTTTGTTCATTTTCTTGCAAGGATTATACATTTGTTTAGGGCTTGATTCATATCCCATGGACACTTGGCTAACAGATATCTGCTGGGAAGTGTTCAACTCAGGCATCTTTCAAACTAGAAACCACTGAAGAAAAACAGACCTCTGTTTTACAGGATCACCTAAAATCCAACAGATATGTTCAGCCCTCTTTGAATAGACAACCTCAGCATGCATTCAAGGTGCTGATTATTACCTTTAAAGCCCTATATGGCATAGGACCAGGTTACTTAAGGGACTTGTCTTCTCCCAAGAATATCTGCCTGCCCCACAGGGTGTGTTCCAGGTTCCTTCTTTTAAATCTTGACATCTTATGGGTGGAGAGTCAGTTTGGTGTAGTGATTTAGCATTGGGCTAGAAACCAAGAGACTGAGTTCTAGTCCTGCCTTAAGCATGAAGCCAGCTGGGTGACCTTGGGTCAGTCACACATTCTCAGTCCTAGGAAGAAAGTAGTGGCAAACCACTTCCAAAGCACCTTGCCAAGAAAACTGCAGGGAATTGAGGGTTCTGCGCAGTATCTTAGCTGTTCTTAGCACTGCACTCTTCTGGACAGAGAGGTCTGATGTTGTTCCTGGGATCTGCTGGAACCATTCTCCCAGCTTAGGAGTCACAGCCCCAAGTGCTCCTACCACCACTGGGACCACTTTGGCCTTTACTTCCTACATCGTCTCTAGTTCTTCCTTCGGGCCCTGGTACTTTTCCAGCTTTTCATACTCATATCATTCTTATCATTCTCATACTATCAGTCATACATCATTCTATCATTTATACATACATCTTATAGGACATAGGAAGTGTGCCTTTTCTGTGGTTGCCTCTGTTCTCTGGAATTATCTCCCTCCTGATATATGACAGCTTCAACTCTTCTTGCCTTTGAGAAAGCAATTAAGATCTGGCTCTTCCCCCAGGCATTAGGGGTCAGTTGAATGGGAGTCCCTCTGTGGTTGTTTTATTATGTGCTTGGCCACCATTTTACATTTTGTACCTTGTATTTATATATTATCTGTTTATTGTTATATGGTTTTCTTTGTTTTTTTTTCTTTTTGATTTATTATGTGTTTACATTGTACACTGCCCAGACTCACATGGTTAGAGTTGGGTGGCCTTATAAATCTTAAAAATAAACAGACAAACAAATCATTCACTAATTTATAAAGACTTTTAGTCTATCTTGTGGCATGAAAGGAAGTTGCTGTTTGATTCAGTTAGACCCACTGAATACACATACTTTTGTGGGGGTGCTTTCAAGTCAGTGTTGACTCCTGGCAACTGCCTGGACTAGTCCCTAAAGTTTTCTTGCGAGGTTTTTCAAAAGTGATTTACCATTGCCTCCTTCCTCACTGTCTTCCAGTTTTTAGCCTGGTGCCTTAACCACTACACTAAACTGGCTCTCACACATACAATTTGCACAGTTAAAATGATATCTTGATTGATCATTTATGTTCCATCAAATTGTTTTTGACTCCTAGCATCCACATACATAGATTTTCTCCATGATGAAAGTGTTGTCTTACCAATGTAAAATTTAGAAATCCTAGTTTCAGCTCTAGATAAGAACAGGACTTGTACTAGGTGCTACCCAGAGGACTTGAGAAGCTGGACAAACTGATATTGTAACTGTATAAGAAGCAGGCTTGAATGGTTCTCAGCTGCATGGGATTCAAAAGTCACTGTTGCATTGAGATATAGGCCTTGTTCTAGCTCTACTCACTACTTTTGAACAAAGGCTGAATGAAAGATCTCCATTCCTATATTACAGAAATAGAGCAATATTCTTCAAATACTTAGTTCTGTTCAATAGCTTAGCAGCTATTTTGAACCAGGTTTTAATACACTTTAATACAGTTTTAAAATCTACATCGGTGTTTCTCAATCTTAGTTTGGCTGGGGAATTCTGAAAGTTGAAGTCTACATACCTTAAAGTTGCTGAGATTCAGAAACACTGATCTACAAGTTCCTGAATCTCACATGGCCTGTAAAATTATTGTAATGAAAATATTACAACCAAAGTAAAAAGAGCCTGATTTAATTGTGGCTTTGCATGGTGTAGGATGCATAAAATGCCATGAAAATTGGCCAGTCTTTGTGGTTTATTCAATGAACCCTGGTTAAAATAAGCTATTACTTAGTAGGAGCCCTGAATTGGCATATGGTAGGCTTCCCATTTATGTAAGTGGTTGCTGCCTTTCCAAATATTTTGTTTTCCTGGAGAGATCAGTGAATGAAGTTAGGGTGAAATTGGGCGGCTCATGTATATGAAAGCTGACATGTCTGGTAAACAAAGCTCTGTTATCCTGGCAAAGATGTGATATTTCCAGACAGAAATGCTAATTACTGGTATTTTACATTTTACTGACAAGCTAGTAAAAGAACAACTAGCTTGCAATTTTAATTTTGTATGTTTCATATAATGTTCAAAAAGGAACCTGCATAGGACAATTATAAAACTGAGGGGTGCAGAAAGAGTTTATGTCACTCTCCCAGAGATACATATTATTTTTCCAATGTCCTACTAGTTACTTAAGTCAGAAAGTACAACTAGTTGCATTAGGGTTCCTCCCCTTTCTCCAAATTGAAAGTCATATTTGAAACAGAGGGAGCCATCTTTTTCTAGTTAGAACCTCTTGAGCACTGATAGATCCCACATGAGGCCTCCTTGTGATTATCTGACATTGCCAAAGGGATGGGAATGAAAAATTTCAGCCCATTTTTCATCATTTTTGGGCTTTTGGAAGAGTTGAACGTTTCACCTCCCAGAGGCCTTTTTGCTTTCATCCCATTTATTTAATATTTTTTAGACAAAATCTTGGGAGGCTTCAGATGCCACAGTGGGGTGCTGGGTTGTGACATAATCAATGCATGCATTTGTTACTAATGATTAGGACAACATCATTTCATCATTTATTTAGATTTATGACCCATGATATCCAGACAGCTTCCAAAACAAAATCCCAATAAAATTAAACATTAAGATGTTTTTACTAAACATTAAATTAAAAAAAAATAAAGCCAAATTTAATTTGCAGGAAATGCCAGGATAAACAGGTAAATCTTTAGCTGTTTTCTAAAAATCCAAAGGAAGAGAACCTGCCACAGGTCCACTAGAAATCTATTCCCAAGGTGCTGGAATAAGGTCAGCTGAAGGAAATGTACCTCTTGCATAGGTGGGACCATCAGCAAGTCTTGCCCCATGAGATCTTGGACCCACTTAGGGTTTTATGTATAAGCATCAGCATCTTTCATTTGGCCCAGTACTTTACCGGCACCCGCAATAGTATTCACAGAACAGAATAATGGGTTCATCTTCCAAACCCACATACTGTCCTGGCCACAGCACTCTGCATCAGTGTAACAAGTGGACTGTCTTTAAGGGCTGCCTCATGTACAGTGCATTTATAATGTTCCAGCTGAGAGGTCACCAGCACATGTATCTCAGACTATCTTTATCCAGAAATGGCCAAAGACTCAGCAGAGAAGCTGTGGGAGGAATGTCTGGTCAATGAATACATGTGCCTCCAGTGTCAATTCAATATCAGAGAACACCTCCAAAGCCAATGTATAGTTCTATAAGGGGAGAGTTACCCCACCCAGCATGAGGCTAAAGCATTAATATTTGCTGGATCTATTTGAGGGTGAAATATTAAACCATAGTAGGCCAACAGGATTTACTTTGAAGTAGCAAAAGGATTCATTTTTAATCTGTGTATGTCTCTAGGATCTTGTCAACGGCTCCACTGGTTTGAAAAAATTGCCATTCAATTTGTCTAGAAAGCTCTTCTAACTCCACTTTGAAGCAAATATGATCTTTTTATATTCAACCATTTCATCTAGCAACTTGATCATGCCCACCTATAGTTAGCACTTTCCAGTGAAAAAGCAAGTCTCTGCAGATAAAATGCTCACCAATTTACTATTCAACTGCATGCAAAGAGTCTTGGCCCAAATGTTGTTTGCATAGTGGAATAATGGAATCTAATCTCATTGTATCTCAACTGCATATGAAGCTATCTAGGAGTGTCACCTTTTATTTTCAAGACAGGATGAACTGTTACTACCTTTTACCTTGACATTTTCTGCATGGCATGCAGAAATCCACTAAGCACATTCTTACTTTCTTGTGTGTGTGTAAAGAGAGAGAGACCTGTCTTTGCAGCCTGTTGTATATTTTTAAATGCTCTTTTTAAAAAAATCAATACTATAAGGACATAAAGCTAACATACTTGGTATATAGTCGCTTCTGAAGAGAAAGTATACTTTCAACAGTTTGCCTTCAAATAGCACAATAATATTTGCTTTGATTATGAAACCATAACGGGGCCATGGCATTGTTTTCTCGAAATAGGGCAGGCAAACTCACAAAGTTGTGTAAAGACAAGAAAATGTGTTTGTTCTTTTGTTGTATCTTTTTGCAGAATGATAATTTACTTCCTGCTACCCCATATACACATTTTCTTAGATTCCAACCACTTCTGCTACATTTTTCCAAATATAAAGCTTTTTGTCAATATCCAGTTCTATTAAGCATTGTCTACACTTGCTGAAGACAACATAATCTTTCATGTAATCAATACAATTGCATTCCTCTTGTCAAAGTGTAGCCTGTGTGAGGCATCTAATGGAGTATATCTGTCCTTTTTCTTCCATTTTTCCACCTTCCTTTCCCCCCCCCCCCATTGCTAAAAGAAAATGCTCTGCTGGTTAAAGATGTTAGGAATTGTAGTTCAATACAAATGAAGGAAAAATGCTGTGGAAGGCTGGTAAAAGTAAT